GAGAGAGAGAGAGAGAGAGAGAGAGAGAGAGAGAGAGAGAGAGAGAGAGAGAGAGAGTTGTCCATAGATTAGACTTAGTGTGCAAGAGCCAAGGGCCATCAGAAATGATTTTCTGGAGAAGCTGAAGAACATGACTCGAGGCACGAATGAGGTGTGCTTTTACAGCCCGTGTTCTTTACGGCTCTCAGCTGACCCAGCCGGCAGTCTCTAGAAATGGACTACCAAATACCATTGTCACCTACACACTACTTAGAACTTTTAGTGCCAATCATTTACTGACTTGTGGAGTCACCGGAGAGGCTGAGTGGGGGCAAAGACCAAAAAAGGATCCAGCAGACGGTTACAACCATGGTCCCAGGAAACCGATAAACCCAGTCCTAGTACAGCCTCTTCCATGAGGAATTTGGCCTTGGAGATATGCCTTGCTTTGACAAATGGGAGATGAAGTTACTGGGTCTTCTGGAGCAGTTAGGCAACAGACTCCTTCAAAATTCTGAATGCAGAATCATTGTTGCTTAAGGCACATGATAAAAAGATTTTTGCTGGGTGGTGATGGTGCATATTTTTAATCCCAGCATTCTGAGGCAGAGGTAGGCGAATGTCTGTGAGTTCGAGGCCAGCCTGGTCTACAAGAGCTAGTTCCAGGACAGGCACCAAAGCAACAGAGAAACCTTACTAATAAAAACCAAAAAAAAAAAAAAAAATCAAGGCCTGCCTGGTCTACAGAGTGACCTCCAGGACAGCCATCGCTAAACAAAGAAACTCTATCTTGAAAGAAAAAAAAGAAAAAAGATTTTTAAAAGCTGCATTCATAGACAAATGCAACACAGGGCTAAAGGTAAAAGGGAAGAAAACTTCACTCCCATGATAGTGAATTTTGTTTCTGTATGTCTGGGGAACCATGATAGTCTGCGGCCAGCAAAGAAGTCAGTTCAGATTGTGTCCTTGAGTAGCCTCTCCGCAGACATCAGACAAGACAGCTGAGTTTACTGTGGAGCCTATGTGAGCAAGCCGGCCATGCTTACTTACCACCTTTCCCTGATAGTCCGGACCTGAGCCATTTCCAGTATGATTCTACAGAGGACAACTCTGAGACGTGGGAAGGGCTAAGTTCGCGAACGCCCAGAGGATATGAACAGTGTCTGCCTCCCCATCTCAACAGTCGGAGCCGCCTCAACATGGAATCCACTAAGAAGGCACACGAGCATGTAAGGAATTTCCATATCACTGTATTGAGGATGCAGAGGTGACAAGGGCTGCCTAGGGGACCTAGTGGTGAATGGAAACCGGGAAGGACGGTGGAGTACAGAGATGTAAGGAGGTTACCATGACAACCTGCCCCGCCTTGCACCTCCCCCCCAAAAAAAGAGGAAAATAATAAAACCAGTTGAAATACCACAGAACAGACAGAAAGTCAAACAAAATTCAATCTTTATTTATCTGGGAAATGGTGAATTCGTCATTGGTGTTTGAAGCCTGAGGCTGCATGTTCTCCTTAGGGGGGTGGGCTGTGTTTGGCAGGGGCTCTGATGGTCTGAAAACTAGACGATGGAGGAGAATCAGAGAATTAGTTTCCCAAGACTGTGGCGCCCCGTACACAGATCAGGCTCTTCAACCATCCATTGCCCTGCCACCGCTCACCTGCCTGATTTTCCAGCTGGGCCTCAGGCCGGTCACCCCAGAGCAGATGCTTGGGGTCATTGAGGAACCGCTGGCTACGCTGGCACGTCAGGCAGGTCTGTACCGTCCAGCGCTGTCCCTTCAGGCCTGGGGTTTAAGTGGAGGGGAGGGGGGGAATAAGAGAGTGTCCACGCTTCTGAGAAAAAGGTCTTGCTTGCGGTTTTCTTCCACTGCTAATAGGAATTCTATCCCACCTGCATTTGGATTGCAGATTTGATATGTATGGGAGGCCCTGCATGAGCATCAATTCCTTGGAACTCTAAGATGAAGTTCAAACTCTGTTTTGAGACAGGGTTTCTCTGTATAGCCTGGGCTGTCTGGAAAGTTGCTCTGTAGACCACACTAGCTATCCTCGAGCTCAGAGATCCTCCTGCCTCTGCCTCCCCGAGTGCTGGGGTCCAGCTATCCTCGAACTCAGAGATCCTCCTGCCTCTGCCTCCCCGAGTGCTGGGGTCCAGCTATCCTCGAACTCAGAGATCCTCCTGCCTCTGCCTCCCCGAGTGCTGGGGTCCAGCTATCCTCGAGCTCAGAGACCCTCCTGCCTCTGCCTCCCCTCCAGTCTCACATTTTCTCCACCCCACCTACCTCACACCCCAGTCTTCTGGTCACTCATTTTCTTATATCACAGATTCTCTTTTCAAAATTCCTTATTTATACTTAGTATTTATATTCTGTACATGTGTATGTGTGTGACACGTATGTGTGTGGACACGGGCACTCGTGTGGGTGTTATGTGTGGAGGACAGAACTCTAGTTTGGGGCGTCTTCCTTTACGACGTTCCACCATATCCTTGAGACAGGGTCTCTTACTGAACCTGGAGTCAGATGTTTTCAGTTAGACTGTGGCCAGAGAGAAGCCAGACTCTGTGTCCTCACCTGGCCCCAAGGGGGGCTATCACATGGGTGCTGGGTCCTCATACTTGCATATCAAACACCTTAGACATTGAACCATCTCCCGAGCGAGCCCCTTGACGGCAAGCAAGCGTGTGCGTGTGTGTGTGTGTGTGTGTGTGTGTGTGTGCGCGTGCGCACACGCGCGAATCCTAACCTAAATGTCTAGAGTTTCTGTCTGACGACTCTGTCTATCATGACATACTTACGTCCCTGCCACTGGTAGAAGTAACTTAAGCAATCCACTCTCTTCCAATGCAAGCATTTAAAAATACTACTCTAGTAGCTCTGTGTGTGTGTGTGGTCTCACGCTTGTAATCCCTAACACAAGGGATGCTGAGGCAGGAGACACCAATTTCGGCTGCGGTGACCCCTGTGTCCAAAAACAGCAAAACCAAAACCAAAGAGAGGTTGTGTTTTCGTTTGAGACAGGGTCTAACTAAGCAGCCCTGGCTGGTCTGGCTGGTAGATCAGGATGGCCTTGAACTCATGGAGACCACCTGCTGCTACCTTCCAAAGTGCTGGGATTAAAGGCGTGAACCACCCACAACCCACTCAGTCGGTATTACTTAATGAATCTTAGAGATTAAATAATTTAAGTAAATAGGGTTAATTTTATTTGATTAAACTACATAGTGTCACGTAGTCCAAATCAGCTAGCGAAAGCCTTCCCCTCCAGGGGGAAGGGGCTGCTGCCCACCACGGTGCCCCGAGGCAGCACTCACGTCTCTGGCGCTGGGTGCAGGTGAGGCCCGGGATGAGGAGAGAGGAGCAGCCGCGACAGAGCGTCCTCTTCACCGAGGGGTCCCTGGGTGAGGAGGAGAGGCAGTGGGCACCCGCTCGCCCGCGCCCCTGGTTCCTCCCGCCGGCCCGTGCCTTACTGCCGCAGGACCAGACGCTTCGCGATGGTCTTCTCCGTGTGGCAGTAAAACCTCGCCAGTGCCTGGTTCTCCGGGTTCTGCGAGAGGACGCAGTGTGCAGCCTGGGGACAGAGACGGCCACCCGGGTCACGCTGCGGTCGCAGCACCGGACTGCTGCCCACCGGGACCCCGCCGTCTTACCTGGTACAGAAAGCTGAGTCTCTGGAAGGCCTCCCGGTCCTTCACAGGGCCCGCCATGAGCGTCTGCCCCTCTTCCGGATGTCCCACCCCGGACACGTGCAAAGCCTGCTGGGAACTGTAGTTTCGGGCCGCGATCCCACAGAGGCCCTTGTCCGGTACCGGACTACCTCACCACCGGCCCTGTGCGTTCTTCCCTGGGAGGCGGTCCTAGTTTGGTATTCCTTATCTATTTATTAGGTAGGGCCCAGCGCGGCTAAGGATCTTAAAATAGCGAAACATTTTCAGGACAAACGTATTCTTTATGTATGGAGAGGATTGTGTGTGCAGTAGATACCAGGCTAGACTTTCTCACTCTCCTGAAGCCAAACAGATCTGGAACAACAAAACAGGCAATGTCTAGCTTCGCGTTATATTTTTGTTATACCAGCACTTGGGAGGTTGAGGTAGGATTGCCATAAATTACATATGAGTCTGAACTGGCCACATGGCCAGACCCTGACTCAAAACCAAAAAGTAGGGGCTGGAGAGATGGCTCAGCAATTAAGAGCACTGGCTGCTCTTCCAGAGGTCCTGAGTTCAATTACCAGCAACTACATGGTGGCTCACGACCATCTGTAATGAGATCTGGTGTCCTTTTACCATCGGGATGAGATTAAAGTTTAATCCCAGCACTTGGGAGGCAGAGGCAGGTAGATCTCTATGAGTTTAAGGCCAGCCTGGTCTACAGAGTGAGTTCTAGGATGGCCAGAGATACACAAAGAAACCCTGTCTCGAAAAATCAAAAATAAAATAAAATATGGTTGGAGAGATGGATCAGGGGTTAAGAGCACTGCCTGCTCTTCCAGAGGTCCTGAGTTCAATTCCCGGCAACCACATGGTGGCTCACAAACATCTGTAATGAGATCTGGTGCCCTCTTCTGGCCTGCAGGCAACCCAAGGCATACATAATAAATAAATCTTAAAAAAATGAAACAAAAAGTATTGATGCCTGTGGGGCTTAAGGTGGAAAAGACTATATCGTAGGACATAGCTCCTAGCCCTCAGGAGGCACGGCCCTCTCCCACTTTTTTACTTAGTAAAGAAGACGCCGCTGTCACAGAACAGGCCAGGTGGACAGTTCCTATGGCCTGTCCCCTTAGGACAAGTCCGGGGAGTCACAGATCACTTCCTGTCTCAAGACTCCTGCCAGGATGGGCGGAGAGCCAGGCTTCCAGCTCAGAATAAGGCCATTAGCTGAAACGTACCCTGGGCGGTGGTTTCCAAGGGCCTTCAGAGTCAAATGAGAGGAGTGTGTTAAAATGTAGACTCCTAGGCCCACCCAAAACTCCATTAAGGATGGAGGGTGAGACCCAAGAACATGTATTTTTTTCATACCCAGTGATTTTTCACCTAAGACCACTGCCAAATTACCACACAAACTCAGAGGTCACATCAGTGGATCCTTTGTTCCATATTTTGACCAACCAAATTATCTTGCCACAAAGAACCACAGTCAAGGCACAAAGGTAAGAAGAGAGTGGACAAAGTCCTGTTGAGGTGGGAGGAGAACCGAAGGCCCCCAGTGCAGCTTCCTGTCTTCTACAAAGATACCAAAGCAGCAGAAAATCCGGGTTGTTTGGTTTGGCATGCATCACATTACCTTTTGTGACAACGTATGAACCCTACTGGCTTTTATTTTGGCCTAACTTAAAATGGTTTCCATTCTCTGAACAAGGGAACGTCAAAGGGAGAAGGACGGCAACAGAAGCGAAGCTGTCTGACCCTTTGCTACACAAACCACCCTCTTCTACCCTGTTCTCGCGGGGGGGGAGAAAGCCTCCATGACCGTTCTTCCTTCTGGCTCAGACACCTGAGCCAGTGGACAAGGCAAACAACTTGGGAATAACTACTTTTAACATTCTTTAAGGCCAGGGCTTTGGATAGACCCTTCTCTTTCCTCCTCTCCACGTTCCCTTGGGAAAACAGTGAGAAGGTAAGCGTGTGTCCCGCAGGGCCGTGTCCATCTCACCTCCAGAAGGGAGAAAGGTGAGCCTACTTCTTGGGGACAACCAACTGCGGGGACAGGAATAACCAGGGTTGAGACCTGGTTCTCCATTCTGCCCACTTTATCTTTCTCCCCAAATTCCAACCTCTGGCTAAACCTATGGGTAACGGTAACATTAACCTAAGAAAAAACAAAAGAAATCCCCATCTCCTCCAATCATTTCTAGAAATATCCCTTTAGCCTCTTCCCTGATCCTCCTCCTAACTTTAATGTCCAATCTCTGCCCTCAAAAGTCACTCAGCTTCTAGACTGATGACAGCAACTGTCCGTCATCTTTCCGACACAGAGGTACACAGATCCCTATGCGCTCCCACAAGGAACAAGGCTACTCTGAATCACAGAAGCCTTTTAAAGGTTTCTGTTTCCTGCATTTTAAGACCCTTTCATATAGACTTCCTGTTTCTAGAAAGCCTTTTCTTTCCCAACCTGTCCTTGTGCAACAAGAAACCCACTGGACACGGATTACGATCCCCTGGGAGCCTGTTCTCCCGCTACAGTAAGTAGGGACGCTCCTCTGTGCTCTGCCACGCAGCCCAGTCCTGTCTTCACACAAACCATCCCAGAGACCAGGTGGTTTCTCAAGATGGCTCAGGACTGGAACCACGTACACGTCAAGACATTCCAGCAGGTCACAGTAAGGAAGACCCATCACTCTTGACCCTGCCTCACCCCAACTACGCTCCGTCTCCTGTCAATCCCAGTCTGTCGGGGGCCTGATGGTGAGAGGTGCAGCATTCTTCCGACCAGCCCGGATCCCCGGGTAGAAGAGGGGCCAGAGTTTTTCAGTAAACGTATCAGTGAAGGTGAAGATATGCGAGCGGTCTGTGACGTTGTAGAAAGACAGTGTGCCAGCCTCATAGTCTAGGAAGATGCCTACCCGCTTAGGTTTCACCTTGATGTGCAAAGGGGTGAAAGGGGTGGTGGTGGCTGCGTACTTGTCCCCGTTCCACAGCCGGATGCGCCAGTAGCCGGTCTCGGGGAGTGGAGTCAGTTCGCCCTTTCTGCTCACAGAGTCCCGGCAAACTCCCACTGCCCAGTGGGTCTTGTCGCCCACCTCCACCTCCCAGTAGTGTCGACCAGAGGTGAAGCCTTCAGTAGCCAAGACACAAGGGTAGAAAGTGAAACGCTGGGGCGTGTCAGGGAGGTCTCGGAGTCTTGTCTCCACAAACTTGACACTCTTCCGATCCTCTGACAGGACAAGGTTAGGATGCGCTGTCTCAGGGTCCAGGGTCACATCCGCTGGCGGGAGAAGCCAGAGTGGGGAGCTAGATGAGGATGGGAACAGCTAAACATCCCTGCCTCGCTCTCCTAGCCTACCTACGCAAGGTTCCCAGAACACGGTGGGTGAGTCAACTAAACGTCCCTGCCTCGCTCTCCTAGCCTACCTATACAAAGGCCCCCAGAACACGGCGGGCGGTGAGTATGGAAGAAATGAAAGGCACTGTCTGAGGGAGTGAGCTGTGGTAGCTGGGGACAGGTGAGCATAAACTTGAATCCTGTGAAGTCTGGCTTTGCGACTGCTTTTCACTACAGGGATATTAATGATATCCCCCTTGGCTTTCCTGGCTCACTCCACCTGAGTTAGGAACCCTTTAACATCTCTAGGTCCTATACAGAGCAGAACCTAAGGTTTTTTCTCTGAACTCTATGGTTTAAGGTGAGATGGGCATGAGAAAAATGCAGCCCACTGGAAGGATCTTAACCTTCCACTCCTTTGCACGCCCTATACCAGTTTCCTCCTGGGAACAACTCACCAATTAGCTGCTTAAGGATTTTCCTTAGGGCAAAGTACTGCCGGGGGAAACTGCTGAAGTTCTTTTCCAGCTCTATAGATACTGAAGTCACCTCCATGGTCTTCACCTTCTCACATCTAGGAGGGATGGGTGATAAAGAAAGCCAGAATACCATCAGGGGGAGCTCCAGCCAACTGAGTATGTGAGTGGTGTCATCGTAGAGAAAGGTGAAAAAGACCAGACCCCTCTCACTTTCCTTCCTCCCTAAGAGCTAGGTGGCTCCCTTGGCAGGTCTGTATCTTGAGTATGAACCTGAAGACTTCCTGGAATATTCTTACATTCCATGCAAATGGATAGTCACCCCCCGCCACTTGTACTCCTGTGCTTCCAGCCCCTTCCGCCGTCTTGTTTGAACACAGCTCGGCTCCCCACCGTCACTGTACGACCAAATATGACCAGATATCACGAGGGAGGCAAAGCGTTATCACCCTCCATGGTTCATCCTGCTCCACTCTCGCTCAGACACTACTTCCCTTTCCTACTTCCGACAAGGCATTACTAAACCCGCAGCCTCCTCTAAGTCAAGACCTAACTCAGAGAGACAGAATCACTTACTTTTCCAGGGTACTTTTCACATCCTAGAAGAAAAGAGAAAAGAAAGTAAGAATGGTCCTAGAATTCATGGGTCATGAAGGCAAAAAGGTTCTCCCTCCTCTCTTCCAACCAGGCGCTAGGCAAACTGAGGGCCCAAGGGACAAGCTTCAGATGGGCTTAAGTGTGTGTCTCTCATGGAATGCCCAGTTTCAACCGCTGGTCATAACAAAGCTTGATAATTAACACAACTTCCTAATGGTCCCTGCACAAGTGTCTTCCTCGTCACAGGCACTGGAGGCTCTCTGTAAGAACAGACCTCAGCATCACTGAGAATCAGTACAGACAGCTCCATACTGGTGGCACAGGATGCTCCCCACCACAGGGTCTAGACATCCCTGTCTAGCACTGGCTAATAAGCTCTAATTCATATCAACCCATTCTGAGCACCCTTTAAATTAGGCTCCTACACCCTGCTTTAGCACTAGGTAAATTAAGTTCTAGGACCGGAAAGTAAGGGCAACGGAATTCACAAAAACTCGAATGCACAGTTCATCACTAAGTAGGATGGACTTCTGTCTTCTGAAAAGGATTCTGTTTTGGGGGGCACAAATTATATACATTAAAAAAAAAAGATTTATTTTGGTCTGGAGGGATGGCTCAGCCATTAAAGGCTAGGCTCACAACCAAAAATATGAGTTTGGTTCTCAGTACCCATGGCTGTCCCTCCAGGTACTTAAAAAGAAAAAAAAGATTTATTTTATATGTATCAGTGTCTTGCTTGTGTGTACGTATGTGCACCATGTGTAAGCAATGCCTTGGAGCCCCCGGAGCTCCAGTTACAGAGTGTTATAAGCTTCCACGCGGGTGCTGAGAACTAAACCTGGCTCCCGTCCAAGAGAAGCAAGTGCTCTTAACCACTGAGCCAACTCACTAGCTCCAGGCATGTACGTTCTAAAAGGACATATCTGGAAGAGCAGTCTAGGCTTTGGGAAGTAGAGTAAGAAAGGATGCACCCAGGCTGACTGCATGGCCCTTACAAAGCTAGTCTGCATTTGACCAAGAACTACATCGGAGCAAAGGTCGAACCTTAAGCATCTCGAAGCCAGACTGTAAGCACTTGCCCTCCACCTCAGCAGCTAAGTGGGCCACTTCCCGACGCTTGACCCCAAGATGAGCAGCATTTTCTCGAAGTCTCTGTAGAATGTCCTGCTCTTCTTCTTCCAGCTGGGAAAAGAGTGCCTGCTGCTCTTCATCCAGCCTCCTGTGGAGTTCTTCAAATTCCTTTAGGATTTGCTGTCTGCGGCTCTCCACTAGTCTCTGAGAACAAGGGAGGATGTGGTCAGGACCAGGGGGCATGAGGGAGTCTCTCCCAGACCCACCAGGCACACTCCCGACAGAGGACTTGTTAGTGCCAATCAGTGGGAAGATTTAAAACAATCAACACTTGTCTTAGCTGTCCTGGAACTAGCTCTTTGTAGACCAGGCTGGCCTTGAACTCACAGGGATTCACCTGCCTCTGCCTCCCGAGTGTTGGGATTAAAGGTGTGTGCCACCATGGCCCGGCTTTTAACACTTGACTTTTTAAGACCTAAATTAACCTTTTATATTTTAACAAAATACATTCAAGGTTCAAGAACTCAATGATGTGATGATATCTACTGTTACGGATATCAGGGATACTTTTGCTATTTTATTCTCTGATGTTTCTAAGATTCCATCATTAATAATAGTGGCACGTTAACCTGATATAGCGAACAGAGGAAACTATCAGAATCAGTAACAGTTTAATGAGTTGATGCAAAGTTTATATTTAAATTTCAGGGTTGAACTTATTTTGGTTGTTGTTTCTAGTTTTTTTCTCCAAAAAGGGTCTTGTAATATAGCACAAGCTGGCCTTGAACTAGGGATCCTCCTGCCTAACAGCTGAAGTTACTTCTGCTGGGCCGAGAATTCCTGGGAGGGGGCTGGACTGCTGCAGGCCCGGAGCCAACTTACATTTTATCTCGGACTACCTTTAGCCTCCTACATAGCCTTTTCCGTGCCCACCTCTGTGCTGGACCTAATAGCCTGTGATTAATTTAATAATGTCAGACAGCATCCAGGGCCTACAGCTGAGACTGCTCTCCTTGGCTGTAACTACCTATTTCATGTTTCTACCACAGTCTTGAAAACTGCCCTGCTCTAAGGCCTTCTTCTTCTAGTCTATAAAAGCTTCATGAAACTGATTCTAAGTTGAAACATAAAATTTGGGGTACCTAAATCTGTGTTTCAATGCAAGATCGCTCATATTCGGCTCCAGAATAAATTCTTCTTCCCTTTGAGAGAGATGGGAATTGTTCTTTGTGTTGACAGAAAATAGTTTTTTTCCATCCCTGGATCATGTTCCAGATACTTTCTAGTAAATCAGTTGCTTAAAATTTGAAACATGCTCTTGATAGCAGCACATCCTTTTTTGAGATGTAGGACTCAAAACAGCAGCCACACCACCTTCTGAGGGTTGTCAGCACATCCCCCTCTATGCCTTCCTAGAAGTGGCCTCCCCAGTGAAGGAGTCCCAAGTCCTTGTGACTGACAGGGAGGCATCAACTCAGAAGAGAAGAGGAGACGGACAGGGACCGAGAAGCACTGCTCAGGCTGAAGAATGGCTGGGAGATAGGTAAAAGCCGTGGGCCTCACAAGCTTGGCAGTCCTGATCTGCAGCTACTCCGGCAGACAACAGCCTAGCTTTCATTACAGGGAGGCAACGGAACAGGATGTGTGCTCACTTTGTCCTGAATAGATTCTGTGTGTGTGTGTGTGTGTGTGTGTGTGTGATAGAAGCAGGTGTGCTGAATTAGGCTCATGAGGACTATCTTTTAGGGGCCAGAGAGATGACTCAGTGGTTAAGAATGCTTGCTTCTCTTCCAGAGGACCTGAGCTTGGTTCCCAGCACTCACACTGGGTAGCTTGAAACTGCCTGTAACTCTAGGGGATCTCATTTGTACTCTTTCTAGTCTCTGAGAGAATGTGTACATGGGTGTGCATGCACATACACATAACACACACACACTTATATGGACACAAATAAATCTTAGACTTTACCACATGTGCCACCAAGCTGCTTTGTGGGGTTTAACTCACATCCGCCTCAGAATGAACCCATATTTATTTCACTTGATAACATCACATACAGTTGCAAGCACATAACCACACTATCGTGTCTTTTCACCTATCAGATTTTATTAGAAATTACTTCCAGTTAGGAGCAGTGTGCATACCTTTAATTTCAGTATTCAGAAGGCAGAGGTAGACAGAGCTCTATGAGTTCAAGGCCAAGTCTGTCTACATAGTTCCAGGCCAGCCACAACTACTCAGTGAAGCTCTGCTCCATCACTAACTAACTAACTAACTAACTAACTAACTAACTAACTAACTATCACTCTATAATGCTACTGGATACGACAGTCTCTTTAAATTATATAGGTAGGTTGTCTTATCTGAACTTTTTTGTTAAAATTTTTTATTTCAGTATAGCTAATTATAAACTCCATCCGAACCCAGGAGATAACATCTTACTACACAGCCCAGGCTGGCCTGTGCTGGCTATGAACTTGTGATAGGAGCTTGAAATATCACAGCTCCAGCCTCCTCTGTGATTGCAGGTGTGCACCATCCATAGCCAGTTCATAAGCTTAATATTTTTTTGTCTGCAGTGTTGGTGAACTGATGCCATATCCTCAGTTCTTACGCACTTTTTAAAATTTTAATTTTTTTTTTTTAAAAACCAGGGTCTTAACTACAGTCTTGGCTTCCTGAGTATTGGGATTATATGTATGTGCTGCTTTTATAAATTGTTTTTATAATTTGAAAATTTTTAATTTACTTTTGTTTTATGGGCATTGGTATTTTGCCTTCATGTATGTCTATGTGAGGATGTAGGATCCTCTGAACTGGATTTACAGAAAGTTGTGATCTGCCATATGGGTGTTGGGAATTGAACCTGGGTCCTCTGGAAGAGCAGTCAGTGCTCCTAACTGATGAGCCATCTCTCTGGGCCCCTACAAACTGTTTTAAAGGGGGTTACTGAGTCTAATTCTGGAGGTTGAGGAAAGAGGGAAGCAAAGTGGGAAATGGGCGGGGGACAAATTCAAACAGTCATAAAAGGAATGTTTTGAATTGCAGTTTTAAAGACCACTAAAATGAAAAATTATAAATTAAAGACAACAGCCGTACTTTGGTTCAAATATTACCATAGCTTAAAGGAGAAATACCCTCCATAGGTCATGTATCTGAACACTCGGCCCCAGGACATGGGACCTTTAGGAGGTGGAGCTTTGCTAGAGGAAGTATGTCACTGGGGGCAGGCTACCCTACTTCCTGTTCTTGCTGCTACACTGCCTTCCCTGCAATTATAGTCTTCTTCCCTCTGGAACTGCAAGCTAAAATAAAACTTCATCCTTTAGTTACTTTTGGTCAAGGTATTTTACCAAGAACTCTAAAGCTGAAGGCTAAGGAAGGGAAAGGCATTCTGGGAATGAATCAGCATTACCTTAGATTACTTAATTACAAGAATGTAGTTCTAAGCCAAATGTTATGGTGCACGCTTTTATTCCAAGCACCTGGGAGGCAGAAGCAGGTGGACCTTTGTGAGTTCGAAGCCACCTTGGTATACATAGTGAGTTCCAGGCCAGCCAAGGCTATATAGTGAGAGTCTCTCAAACAAACAAAACAGAATGTGGTTCTGTGGGGCTCCAGAGTTTAAGAACATTGGCTGTTTGTTCTTCCAGAGGACCTGAGCTCAATTCCCAGCACCCACAAAGCACTTGGAACCATTGGTAACTCCAGTTCTGGGGGATCTGAGGCCCTCTTCTGCTCTCTTTGGGCAACAGGCAGGGATTTGGTCCACAGACATACACAAAGGCAAAATACCCATACACATAAAATAAAAAAAAAAAAAGAGTAACTAAAAGTAATTAAAAACAAACAAAAGGTCACTGAGCAGTTCTGGGAGCTCTTGCTCAGCTCATCCATCTCTCCTGGTGAACTTCCCAAATTCTCTGTCAAGTTGGGAGCGTAGGAAATATTCCTAACATTCTCTTTCCTACAACCTCTCTAAGAAGCTCCCATCCCTGTAGTCTTAGGAGATCCTGTTTCCTTGCTTGTGGGTGGGAGGAGAATACTGGGGCGAGGACTCCATGGACTTAGCAGTATTTATTATTGTATACACAGTGTGTGTACATACACACAATGAGTATGTGAACTCAGATGTCAACTCTGTGGGTTCATTTTTATCTTTCTACCTTCATGTGGGCTTCAAGTCTTGATGCTTGCACAGCAAGCACCTTTATCCACTGAGCCATCTCAACAGCTCATTCATTTCTTATATTCTTCTCAGTACTTAACTCATGACAAGTAATTTAAGTATAGGGTTTAACGACAAATACCTAATGAAATATCATTCTGAGAGAATAGCAGTTTTCCAATTAACTGATAGATTAAGCCAAGTGTTGCCAAGCAGTGAAGGCAGCAGATTGCTTGCTCTACCTTGAGCTCCCCCGGTTTCTTTTCTTCGGAGGTTTTGCAGGAAGTGATCTCCTGCAGCTTCTGTTCCAGGGGCTCCAGGCACTTCTGCAGTTTCTCCTGAAGGTTGGGAGAGAGCAGGAGAGGAAACATTTTGGAGTTAGTCGATACATCCATTCCTTAAGAGCTTAACCCATTTATAGGCCATCTGGGAACCAAATTCAGGTGATCTGCCAGACTGGTAAATGTTTTTAACTGCTAAATCATCTGTACAGTCCTGATTATTCTTCCCTTGAAGTACTTAGGGTCAGACCGACCCAGGGCCTGGGGCATGCAGGACAAATGTTCTAGGACCAAGGCACCTTCTCCACCCTATACCATCTGATTTCTGCTCTCATCACTTCTTGACCACACCCCCTTCCCTGCCTTCGGCTCGACCCCCTCAGGTCTGAGGCACACCTGACTGTCCTCCCCGGAATCCAGTAGTCTAGCTGTTATCACCTGCTTCCTTTCCCACTCTGTTTTCTTACAGACAACTGCCTACTACACTCAAAGTTACTTGATTTATTCTTTTCTTTTTGGTTTGTTTTGGTGGTGCTGAGAATTCATGCAGGGTATGTATATCAAGAACAGTCCCCTCCTCCAGCCAGAAGGAGACAACCTTTACTTATTTGTGTATTATTGTTGTTTCATGGTAAGGTCTCCAGCAGCCTGGCCTGGCTACAACCCACGGATGACCTCACCTCCCAGGCGCCTGCTGCCTCTACCTTTGGAGTGTTGGGATTATAAGTGTGTATCACCCCCGGCCTGTCTTTTTTTTTTTTTTTTTTTTTATTATGTTTACAATATTCTGTCTGTGTGTATGCCTGTAGGCCAGAAGAGGGCACCAGACCTCATTACAGATGGTTGTGAGCCACCATGTGGTTGCTGGGAATTGAACTCAGGATCTTGGGAAGAGCAGGCAACGCTCTTAACCGATGAGCCATCTCTATAGCACCCCCCCACACACACACACACCTGTCTTGATATCCTTTTGTCACCTGGGCTTCCATTCAGATCTAACCTATGTTATAGACAAAATAAAACCTGGCTGTAAATTACCTTAAATATTTTTTCAAGATTTTGTTAACTAAGCAGAATAAATGAAAATTCTAGACAGTGCCATCTTTGATTTTTATGACTGAAACAGCTACCCTGTGCCCTCACTAGCGATTTAAATACTCGTTACATGGACAAGACGCAGGCTGGTTCAGCTTAGTCTGCTGGGTTTAGCACTTTAACGTAATGTTAGCTATTTCCAACAAATGGGGAAAACCATCCTGAGCAAACAGGCAGAAATGAAGAAATCAAAATACTTTTCAGTTCTTCCAAACTATTTTTCAGAATCTTATGTGGTTTCACTCATTTATTTAAAATCTGATATATGGCTTGACTGTGGTGGTGCCGCTTTTAATCCCAGCACTTGGGAGGCAGAGGCAGGTGGATCTCTGTGAGTTTGAGGACAGGCTCCAAAAGCTACAGAGAGAAACCCTGTCTTGAAAAAAACCAAAAACCAAGAACTAAAGAAAACAAAAACAAAAATTCTGATATATTCCAAAACCATACATACCAATACTCTGAAGACTCAATTGTTTTGCAATAAGTCACAGAAATTTTTGGGTACACCTCACTGTTCTTGTGGAGGACAGTTGACCAGATGCACTGAATACCCATGTATATAGTTCTGAGGAGAACATAGAGGAACAGAAAGCCTTGCCTCAGGAGCTTAAACCCCTCTACTCGGAGTGTGTATTCTCTCCCCACACTGGAGTCATGTGTCTGGATGCCCACCTTATACTCCTGTGTAGCGTCATCCAATGGCACCACGGTATGGGCCCGGTGGGTATGGGAAATGGCACATATCAAACAGACAGCCTCCTGGTCTTCATTGCAGAAGAGGCTCAGGGCCTCATGGTGCTGGGAGCAGAGGCTCTCATCCCTGATCTTCCGCTTGACGGCCTGGAGCTGCTTGGCGATTTCCACCATGCTACCCAGTTGTCGATTGGGCCGGAGGCTTCGGTATCGCGATGTCTTCCGACAGACCGGGCAAGGAAAGTCCCGCTCTAGGTCCTCCCACCAGCGGGTAATGCAGGCTTTGCAGAAGTTGTGCCCACATTCGATGATAACAGGCTCCTTCAGATACTCCAGGCACACAGAACAACTTGCCTCCACTTGCAGGTTCTCCAGGGCGGCAGCTGTGGAGGCTGCAGAGGCTCCAGCCTCTATCAGACTTGTCTCGGCCATTATTTGACTTGGAGATGGGGAGAGAGAAAAGAAAGGTATTTGTTAAAAGGTTACCTGTTTTTTTTTTGTTTGTTTGTTTGTTTTTTGCACTCCTATTCTGACATCAGCTCCCATTAGGCCATAACTCTAGGCTGAGCCCCATCTTGGTATTTTCCCTTCTCTTCCAGTAGACCTGTTGCTCTATTTACGTATTTGTGACTTCTAATCAATTCACTTGCTTTTTCTGATTTAGCAAACAAAAGCAATCCCTAGATCTCTCTCACCTCTATTTTCTCACTACAATCAGAAGCTTCCTTTAAGTTGACAGATTTTTTTTTCTAAAGATGAAAAAGAGCCTGACGTGGTGGCTCAAACCCAGAACCCCAGGATTTCTGAAGTCAAGGTGGGGAGCCGTCATCGGATGAAGGCCAGTCTGGGCTATACAGTGAGTTCTAGGCAAGCCTGAAGACACAGATCTCTAAAGGGAGGGAGAGAAGGCTGGGAAGTGAGATTGGTAGCTCACTGTGAGGCAGGAGGATCAATATAAGGATGAGGCTAGCCTGGGCTACTGTAGAGTAAGAGTTTCTTTTAATGGAGCTTTGGCTAGCAGTCCTGGGACTCGTTATCACTATTATGTTTTTAAAGAACTTCATACATAAGCATTGCACCTACATTAAAAGAAAAACTACTTTTTTTGGTTTTTCGAGACAGGGTTTCTATGTAGGCTTTGGAACTAGCTCTTGTCCTGGAACTAGCTCTTGTAGACCAGGCCGGTCTCAAACTCACAGACAGCCGCCTGCCTCCCGAGTGCTTGGATTAAAGGTGTGCGCCACCACCGCCCGGCTTAAAAAAACAAAAACAAAAAACTACTTCTTAAAATACATTTCAACCCTCAGAGAATACTACTGAGCAGAGGGCAGTAACTTTTCTGAAGAGACTTGGTAAGTCCATTCTAAACATTCAGCGGCGAGTTTAGTCTTTCAAAGTCTCTACTGAAAATTAATTCCATGGATATTCAGTGTATCAGCTAGGAATTAAAAAGAAATTTGCCAGGTGTGGTGGTGGCACGTGCTTATAATCCCAGCCCTGGGGAAGTAAGGGCAAGGGTGTCAGGAACTCAAGGCCTGCCTTAGTTATACAGAAAGCTTTCTGGGGAAAGAAATTCAGATGCAGATTAAGATCAGTAGGATTTCTTCTCTACCCATTAGAATGCAATTTTGATTAAGTGCTGCTCCCCAATATTTTTTTTTTTTTTTGGTTTTTCGAGACAGGGTTTCTCTGTAGCTTTGGTGCCTGTCCCGAAACTAGCTGGCCTTGAACCCACAAACTCACAGAGGTCCGCCTGCCCCTGCCTCTCGAGTGCTGGGATTAAAGGTGTGCACCACCACCACCGTCCGGCTCCCCTCCCCAACCTTACAGATATTAGATAGCATCCTCACCTAAGTGAATTGAATTATATGCACACTTAAGGGGCCAGGACGTATCTAAGTGGCAAATAAGCGGTATGAAAGAGAAATGGGCTCTGGGTTAGTGAAGAACGGAGAGGATTTGGAGCTGCGGGCGGTGGTGATGATGGAGAGGGCAGCCAGACCATGGCCTTGTGCTCCTCTGCTGGTCCTTCCTCTCCCTCCATTACTCTGTCTCAGGAGTAGTACTAACTTCAGAGACGTCCTCCTTCTGTCTTTTTAATCGCCGCCTTAGGAGCCCCTCTCTAGCACCGGCCACAACTCTATCCCACCCAGTCTCCATCTTCTCCTGCCCTATCGGGAGCATGAGGACCAGAGCGAGGGGGCGCACGTCGTGGTTGGCAGGGAGGAAGGATGCGTGTCTCAGTGAGGGAGAGGTGTGAAGTGAAGGTGGGATGCCCGCTGCCATGTCGAAGTCCAGACCCCGCGGTGACTGCGTCAGCTTCACCCGGGGAGACCAGAGGCAGCAGGACAGGGGGAACGGGGTAGCCAAGCAACGCCGGACGCGCTGACGTCGCCGGGGCGGCAAACGTCCTCCGGGCCCGAGGCGGGCGGAGGCAGCTGTGGTTGCACGCCGGGCAGCTGACGCGCTCGTCGGGGCGGAGGGCCGCGGCGTGAGGAGCCGGCTGGGCAAGGGGCGGGTCCCAGACCCCGCACGGCGGCAGCGGCGCAGCACCTACCTACCTTCCCGGCTCCGGGTCCCGGAGTGCCGGGTGCGAAGACGCCGGAGCACTGCCTCCCTCCTTCCTCCTCCCCTCACCCCCGCCCCGCGGCGCGACACACAATACTCACCGGAAGCGGAAGCGGCGGCGCCGCGGCTGGTGGAAGGCTGCGAGCGCGGCGCTGAGCCGGCTCGCGGCGCCGGGGCCTAGACGGGGCCGCCGCGGGTGGCGGCAGAGGGCCGGAGGTGAGGGCCCGCGCGGCTACGGAAGGGCGGGAGGGCCCCCGACGCGCCAGGTGGCTGCGGTGCTGGCGCCCAGGTGACCCGAGCCATGCCCGGGAGACCCAAGGCCGCGCGCATGCGCGTGGCGGAACGCCGAAGCCCATGGCCGGCGGCTCGTCTCGGCGGGCGAAGCTTCGGTGTCACCTCGCCGGCGCCGGGGTCTGAGGCTGCTCCCCGGTGGGGCTGGGCGCCGCAGAGCCTGGGTGACTACGGATTATGGGCTTGGGGGTCTCACTTTCTCGGTCTCTGGGTCAGTTTGGGGAGAGGGTGGCTGCTGCAGGCGGCGGCGGCGGATTACGTGGCTGACCCGAGAGGCTGCGCTGGCACGTCACTTCCGACTGGCTGAGGTTGGCTGCAGACCCTGGTGCGCCTGATGCACTCTTGGTTGGCTAACGTTCACGAATTGCTTTTCCCTTGGTGGAGCAGAACTGGGCTGGTCCGGTGGCTTGCAGCTTCTCGGGTGCTGGGCGGACCAGATCCAAGTAAACACTGGGTGAGAACCAAAGCCGGTTTCTTTGGCTTAAGTTTCCACGGGAGAGCAGATAGAGCTTCGGGATAATCTCCCTGTTTTTGGAAGTGTCACAAATCTAGCGGTGGTGAAAATTTTTTTGGAAGGGAGTGAATTAATGGGGAGGGGAAGTCTGATGGTACAGATGTCATGGACTCAGGAGGAGTTAGTGCTAGGATGCATATTTTACACCACCGGTTGCACAGGTTGTGTGCTTGTCCCTCTGTCGTGAGACAGACCTTTTCTGGGGAGATAAACACACACCTGCTCAGCTCAGGTAGGGCACCTGTACATACCGAATTTGTGTATCTCTGAAGTCTGATTTGGTGAAGCGTGAGTTTTACTGGGGTTATTTAGAGGAATATGGGTGAGGGGTTACTTACATGAACAGAAAGAGACACAACACAGTGGTGCCAAAAAACACCCCAGCATGGCTCCCAAAGCTAGAAACCTGGAGTACACCCCCACAGCTCAAAAGATTGGACTGTCCTTTCCTGGTGGCTCAGTGGGTCTGAGCATCTTCCAGGATGTTCAGCTTGTCCTTATTAATTCTAGGCATTATTTGCTTCTTCTGGGCTTGTCTGAGAGAGGCCCTCAATACTCTACTGTTTAATAGACTCATGGGGAAAGGGTTTGGGGAGTCTAGTCAGTTTCAGGGACTTTTTTTTTGGTGTCTACTTCATGTCTCTTTAGAACAGCCTATTTTGCCTCTGTAAGCCTCCATCTTAGGAAGTTTCCCTCTGGGATGCAGGTTTTAATCTCAGAAACTGCTACGTAGCACCCTCCCTGCCTCCTGCAACAGCTGGCATGCATCACATTTGCGTGGATTTTAGTGGATGCCCTCCTTTCAGAGGAAGCGGTTCGTGGTTCCAGTACGTTTTGAGATGGTTTACAAACAGCATGCTGGTGTTTTTGTTTTGTTTCGTTTGAGATAACATTTTGTGTGGTCCAGGCTACACTTGAGCTCACAAAGTAGCTGAGGACTGCTTTCAACTCGATCCTCCTGCTTCACCTCAGAGTGCTAGAGTCTGCCACAGCTAGCAAGCCTATTTAACCCTCATACTTAAGAGGTTAAAGGTTTAGAACCACAAGCCGTGGGGTGGTGGCACACGCCTTTAACCCAGCACTTGGGAGGCAGAGGCATGCGGATCTTAGTCTACAAGATCCTGGTCTACAAGAGCTAGTTCCAGGACAGGCTCCAAAGCTACAGAGACCCCCCCCCCCCCCCGGGCTTGAAAAGCAAACATACAAAAATTAAGACCACGAATGGCAAATAAAAGTCTACTTTTAAAAAAAACTATCTTATTCTTTTTTGTTTTGTTGGGTTTTTGTTTTTCTTTTTCTTTTTTGCTTTTTGTTCCCCTTTTATGGTAGCCCGTGACTTTAAGAGTAAATTTGATAATTATTAAGTTCCCTTCACTTCATTGCTGTCACGTTTGGCCATTAGGGGTTATAAACTGCAGCAGTTGTTACAGTTCACAAACACTTTGTTTCTAACAGGGTAGTTTGAAGGCCATTAACTTGCCTTCTGAATTGCCCCTTAAACATGTCCCAGCGTGGCCTCTTACACTGCGGTACCTTGTGCCATGAGGACTTGTGTCTCCCTCCTCCCCCTTTAGTCTTGTGTCTTGGAAATTTTCTCTGGCCACCCGCTCTGCCCCTTTGAGGTATGAAGAAAAGGGAGATAGGTTTGAATTACCATGAGTGACTCCCAGGAGTTTTGTACTTAATACAACAACAGTCCATAAGGGATACACGATTAATAGAAGCTCAGGGTCAGAAACTGGGGTTCAGCCTGAAGACCGAAAAGAAAAACAGCCAACCACTGGCTCTTTGACCTCAGTCTGAAATGGCGATCTTGTCTCCAGGAATCTCTCAGAATGAGACTGTTAGAGCTGTTTCTTCCCGTTTTATAGTCCTCTCTAGGGCTGGAATTAAAGGTGTGTACCACTGTGATTAGGGCGTGCACCACCTGATTTCTCTGGCAGCTTGCTGCAGGGACAGTGGTTTTACCCGTAAAGATTTATTTCTAGTACTTGTTTAATAGAATGCTGATTGGCCAGTGCTAGGCAGGAAGTAAGCAATGAGAACAGAATTCTGGGAATTCTGCAGATGCAGGACACAAGATGTGACTGCCATGCCGGAAAAAGTTACCAAGCCATTTGGCTAACACAGACAAGGTTAATGGGTTAATGTAAGATGTGAGAATTAGTTAATAAGAAGCCTGAGCTACTAGGCCAACCAGTTTATGATTAATGTAGACCTCTGTGTTTTTATTTGGGATTAAACGACTGTGGGACCTGATGGGAAAGAAACCCCAGTCAACAGCAACTAGTGTGGCTACTGGGATTGAAGGTGTGTGTTACCATAACCCGGTCTGTAAGGCTGATCAGTTTTACTCTCAGATCTTCAGGCAGCCTTTATTTCTTAAAATATAATTGAAATGCCACTATACATAAGCCATATGTAAGTAATACTAGTGCCCCATTTTCTTTCCTTTTTTCTTTCTTTTTTTCCCGAGACAGGGTTTCTCTGTTGGCCATTGCTGTCCTGGAACTAGCTCTTGTAGACCAGGCTGGCCTTGAACTCACAGAGATCCACCTGTCTCTACCTCCTGAGTGCTGGGATTATCTCAGATTTTCTAAGAGCTGGGGTTATACTACTGTGACAAGCAAGGCGATTGAAAGAAAACTACACAGAATGATGTTTCTGTGGCAACTAAGTCTTCATTTCACAAAAGATGTCTCCTTAGTAAAGCCAGGCGTGGTGGTGCATGCCTCGAATTCCAGCAATCAAGATGCTGATGCACAAGGGTCACTGTGATGCCAGCAAGGCTGTATCTTTAAGAGAAAAATACCCTTCCCCATTCATGGCATATAATGTGTTTATTGGCTTTTTACCCACAGTAAAAAAATTTTCAGAATTGGAGTTAGGCCTCTGAATTTTGTTGCTGCTTTATTAGTAAAATTATTTTTGTTGCTGCTTCAAAACTAATTCTGCTACTGTTATGAATTGTAATGTAAATAATACCTGATGTGCAACCCTGGTAAGAGGGTTGTTTGATCCCCACAGGTTGAGAACCGCTTCCCTAGACCCACCTAGGAGAGCTGGAACCAGCTTCTACAGTATTTACATTGTAGCATCACAGGTACTCATGACATCTAGAGTGGACTGGGTACCTCAGAGGAGGCTGCTGCGTCTGTCTGAAATGAGTCTCTTCAGTACTTAAGATTGCAAAGTCAGGATGACCCCACAGGGCTGCAGGAAGGATGCGGAGTTAGCAGGAAGCAGCAGTCTAATTGTATGTTTGAGTGCCCTGGAGTAGTAAGGAACACTGAAACTAATATTTTAAACAGAATATTTTCTGAGCAGTAGGTCTCAACAGTGGACCATGTTTTAAGCAGGTGTACTGTCACACACACACCTGCTTCTCCATGTAGAGAGCTTTAGTGTAACTTTTTAAAAACTATAGTGTTCTGCCTGCATATGTGCCTGCAAACCTGTAGGGGGCGCCAGATCTCATTACAGATGGCTGTGAGCCACCATGTGGTTTCTGGGAATTGAACTCAGGACCTCTAGAAGAGCAGGCAGTGCTCTTAACCTTTGAGCCATCTCCCAGCTCCCTACTGTAACTCTTAATGGCCCTAGGATTTGAGGATCATTTTCAATTTGCAGTCACTAACTGTATTAGTCTCTTAATATAATTAACTTGTCTTTTGATGTTTTCAAGTGGAGTCATTTACTGTATGACTGTTTTGTCTACCTTGAAAATCTGTTGCTCAGCACAGCAGTCTTCATTCATTCTCTTAGCTCTTCGCGAGGACTTGGTGCTTCTCCATGAGCATGGAGACAGTTCCTTCCATCCGTGGGAACCATCTCAGCCTTCGGAATTGTATTTGGGGTCGTGTTCTGCATTAGGCTTTGGCTTCACGGATGCTGTGAAGCACGTCAGCACCATTCATGTATCTAACAGTCTAACAAGTAAAGCTAGCCCGAAGATCAGAATGCAGAGCTAAGCCACTAGTTAGCAATAGAGGCCAGGCGGTGGTGGCTCACACCTTTAATCCCAGCACTAAGGCGGTGCAGACAGGAAGGAATATGGCTGGGCAGAGAGAAGAATGTAAGATGGGAGGAGACAGCAGGGCATGGCATTCAGTCTGAGGATTTGATGGAGGTAAAAGGTCCCTCTAGTGCTTGACTCCTGTGCTTCATTAGCATTTACACCAATATCTGACTCTGGGTTTTTATTATTAAAACCAATTAGAATTTGTGCTACATTCATGTGTACAATGAAGTAGCCATTTTTTATTCTTCAGGAAGTTTTCCTTTGTGTTCACAACTTGGCTAACTAGAGGGGCCTAGCAGTTTGACTGTCCCAGCTTTCAACTTATCTTTCTCATAAAGCTCATCAAGTAGTTTATGGTTTAAAATGAGAGCTGGGACAGTTCTTTTTACTTAAACACTTAGAGACCACAGTAGGGTTGGTTGGTAATTTCAGAATTATGTCTCTGGGACTAGAAAAGGCCCAGGAAAAATGAGATGGGAAATGAGCAGTCAATGAAGTGTCAGGAGAGCATATGCACTGAATAAGTGTGTTGTCTTTTTTTTATTGATATTTATTGAGCTCTACATTTTTCTCTGCTCCCCTCCCTGCATCTCCCCTCCCCCTTCAATCCTTTCTCAAAGTCCCCATGCCCCCAATTTATTCAGGAGATCTTGACTTTTTCTACTTTCTACTTCCCATGTAGATTAGATCTATGTAAGTCTCTCTTAGTGTCCTCATTGTTGTCTAAGTTCTCTGGGATTGTGGTTTAGGCTGGCTTTCTTTGCTTTGTGTTTAAAAACCACCTATGAGTGAGTACATGTGATAATTGTCTTTCTGTGTCTGGGTTACCTCGCTCAAAATAATGTTTTCTAGCTCCAAGTGTGTTGTCTTATGTGGGCATTGGTTTGTGGTATTCTGATGCAAATTTCTATTAACAGCAAAAATCACAGATTACAGTTTATCTAATAATAAAATAGTTTTTAATGTAATAATAAAATAAAAGTTTTCATGTAATAATAAAATGTTTTGTTTTATTTTTGTTTTTTGAGACAGGTTTCTATGTGTAACAGTCCTGGCTGTCCTGGAACACACTCAGTAGACCAGGCTGGCCTCAAACTCACAGAGATCTGCCTGCCTCTGCCTCGCAAGTGCTAGGATTAAAGGCGTGTGCCACCACGTCCAGCAATAAAATGTTTTAAATATTATCAAAATTACCAGAACGTGACACAGACATTGAAGGGATCGTGTGCTGTTGGAAAAGTGGCTTTAATAGACTTACTTGATGCAGGATCTGTAAAAACAAAACCAGTGTCTGCATGCAATAGAGTGAAACCCCAACAGCAGGAGAGATGCCTGTGCTGTTCAGTGACTGGTCAGTGTGCGACACCACCCTATTTAGTAGCTCTAACCGTGGGGCTTCAGAGCAAATGTTCTTGCTCAGTCCTCACACTGAGCTCATGGCCTGGGCTGTTCCCCATTTCCCCAGCCCTTCTGCAACCTGCAGCAGCACCCAAGTACATGGCTTAGAAGATTGTAAATGATCATATTTTCCAACCAAGGAAAAATCTAAATTAGACTCTTTCATAAATTCTTGAGGCTGCATATAAGGTTAGGGTTGCTTGGGCTGAGGGAGGGAGAGGAGCAGCTGAGTAGACACAAGAGTGGCTGCAGGAACTCATGTCCGGTGATGAGCGGCTGGCAGAGCCGCCTTTGCTAACTCTGGAATTCAGTTCCTTCATAAAGGCTGCAGAAAGAAGGAAGCGAAGAAGTGAGCCTCGATGAAAGTTGGTGCCTAAGACTGGAGACAGCAGGCAATGCCTGACAAAAACACTTGCTGCTGTCAAGAAAAAGGGACATCTGGAAGGCGGGGCCAAGACTTACACAGGAATAAGAAACACATATGCTGGGGGCTGAAGGTTGAAATTAGGCCTAATGCCAGCTGCCCTGCCGCATGCAGTCTTCACTGTATGGTCCTACAAACAGGATGAGGCCCAGGGCCATAGCAGGGACCTTGTGATCAAAGGTTCGGGTGGGAGAAGCAAAGATGACCCAGGTGAGGTCTACAGTGGCTGAGCACCAGATGGGCCAACGGTCCCATCCATGTTTAGATCCCCAGTCTCCTCCCCCAACCTGAAACATCCATGCAGCAGAGGTAGATTCTGGAATGTTCTCAAATTTTATTTCCTCTCCCAAGTTTGAAGCAACTTGCTGTACCCTAAGTCATCAACCAAGCCTGGGGTAAGAATTCCAACAGATTCATGTCTAGATACTGTTCTAGACAGATGGAGAATCCTAATCTCAGCTTGAACAGACTCACATTTTGCTGACAGAATCTCACACAGATGGACATAGTCAGATGCCAATTGCAGAAAGAAGTCAGGGCTTCCCATGACATAGTATGTTGTGTATGTGTTCACCTTTGTATGGTCAGTTCCACTGTTAGGCTGTAGAGGAAAATTCATGAAAAACGCAGGTCACTGCATATTAATCCACCTGCATTCCAAACCCAGAAACCCACAACATTTGCCTGTCCCTGCCGCTCTTGGCTCTGATTCAGGTTCTCCTGTGTTTTAAAATTTAGACACCTTAGCCGGGTGATGGTGGCGCATGCCTTTAATCCCAGCACTCGGGAGGCAGAGGCAGGCAGATCTCTGTGAGTTCGAGACCAGCCTGGTCTACAGAGCTAGTTCCAGGACAGGCTCCAAAGCCGCAGAGAAACCCTGTCTTGAAAAACCAAAAAAAAAAAAAAAAATTTAGACACCTTAAATGCCCACAGAAGATGGGGGGTTGGAACTAATGGCTCCTGTCTACACTGCTGCCAGTATCTCAGGGATAGCCATTCCAAACTTAGAGGTGCCCTGATCACAGCTGCTACTTCGTGTAGAAAACAAGGAGGTGAGAGGTCATGGACATGGGCCAAGACAGCCTAAAAGAGCCAGCCAATCCTGGGACATGGAGAAGTAGCTTGAACTTCACACAGACCAACACACCACAGGGCTGGAACAGGAAGGACCAACTGCCCTCTTAGATGTCAGTGTCTCTAGAAGGCTCTCTGACCTGTAGGTGCTGGGAGCCAGGTCCTCGGGGCCACGGTCATCTTGGCACAAACTTCTAATGGGCTTTTAATTCCCTCAGGAGCACACTCCACAGGTGACTCAGTGGGTAGAGGCTGCAAGCCTGAGGACCCACATAAACTTAGAAGGCGAGAACTAACCCCACAAAGTTGTCATTTGACCAATACACGCATAGCGTGGAACACACGAACATACACATGCATATTCACAATAAGAAACACCCCAATCTTCTCACCTTTCCTCCTTGGTGACTTTCTCCACACCACAGCAATGACCACAGCTCCAAGGAGAACCAGGCCAGCAGTGACTCCCACAGCGGGGTCCATGTGCTGAAGAGGTGGAGCTGGCAAATGAAAGAGGGGCTTGGGTCTACTCAGGGTCTCCAGAAGGCTCCTGCTTCCCTTGACAGCCTGCCCCTCCTTACCCCATGTCAGGGTCAGAGGCTCAGGCAGCCCCTCATGGTACACATGGCATGTGTATCTCTGCTCCTCCCCAGAAGGCACCACCACAGCTGCCCACTTCTGGAAGGTTCCGTCCCCTGCAGGTCTGGTCTCCACCAGCTCCATGTCCTGAGTCTGTTCTTCCTCCTCCCTCTGCCAGGTCAGGGTGATGTCAGCAGGGTAGAAGCCCAGGGCCCAGCACCTCAGGGTGACATCACCTTCAGGTCTGGGATGATGGGTCACACGTGTCTTTGGGGGATCTGAGAATTCAGAGGTTCAGAGACTGCATTACCTTCACTGAAATAGTGTGCTCATGTGACCGTCCTGAGAATGGACAGGACACTCAAGGTGGGAAAGGAGGCCCAAAACCCAGACTTTTAGGTTATTCTCTACCTTGGAAAATCCTACAGTCAGTTGAAGCCAGCCCAGGGTGAGAGGCTTCAAGTCTCTGAAAGGGACATTGGCTTCTGACCTGGGGGGAGGCTGAGCTTTTCTAAGCTTGACCAAATTTCCAAACACACTGGAGTGGGGGCAGAAAACAGTGAGTCTCCATGTAATGTCCAAGGCTGCTGGAGGCTGGTCATTTACCGCAGGAACTGACTCATCCGGAGAGAACCCAAGAAGATTCACCTGGGCTAGCTCAGAAGGGAGGGAGGTGACCTTGCAGGAGACCCGAAGCAGGAAGGTCTACACGGGGATCCAGGTGTTTGCTGCCACTCAGTACCTGCACGTTGCAGTAACTCTCTTCCCTTCTCCAGATGGCTGCGGAGCCACTCCATGCACGTAACTTTCAGGTAGGCCCTGTGGTGCTCTGCCTCATTCGTGGCCTCATATTGGCGCTGGGTAATCAGAGCCACCTTGTTTGCAGCAGTCCAGGAATGGAGGTCCTCGTTCAGAGAGATGTGGTCGGCGCCATCATAGGCCGTCCGGTAGTATCCGCTGAGGAAGCGCCCATCACTGCCCATATAGCACCCACGCATGGACTGGATGGTGTGGTACCCTGGAAGGCAAAAGGAATCAGCCCCAGAGGCCTGGTCCCGCCTGCTACTCTTAGCCCCGCCCCATGGAGGAAGGGAGGGAGGGAGGACCACTCCTGGTTGTGAGTCTCCCCCGAGGCTGCAGAATTTTTCTAGCTCTGTGGGGTCCAGGAGATGCGCCTGGCAGTAGCCTTAGGTCCCGGCAGTAGCCTTAGGTTTATGAGCCGGGTCGACTATTTGGGGTTATCCAAGCCACACAGGGCTAAGTGACTCGCCTGCTTCGCTCTGGTTGTAGTAGCGCAGCAAGGTCCTCAGATTTTCACGGAAAATCTGCGCGTTAGCCTTGGCGATCCGAGTCTGCCGCTCCCAGTACTCGGGCCGTTTCTCCTCCATCCACGGCGCCCGAGGCTCCTCTCTAGGGGTCGTCGCATCGCTGTCGAACCACACAAACCGCGTGTCGTCCACGAATCCGAAGGCGACGAACCGCGGTTCCCTGTGTCCCGGTTGGGTCATGGCAGTGCCGAAATAACGCAGCGAGTGTGAGCCTGGAAGAAGCAAGGAGCTGACGGCGGCTCCACCTTCCTTCCAGGATCCGGAGCTGGTGTGGGGGCCGAGAGGGGAGCAGGGCGCGGGGCTCGGGACGCGGGTGGGGAAGGGGCGGGAGGGTCCGGCTGGGCCACGCGGGGACTCGGCTTCCCAGGTGCCGCCCCCGCCCTCCCCGCAGAGCCCGTTTCCCTCCCGACCCCGCACTCACCCGCGCGGGTCTGGGTCGGGGCCAGGGCGGCCGCCAGTAGCAAGAGCAGCGTGCAGGGCGACATCGTTCGTGTCTAGAGATCTGGGGAACTTAAGAGCTCTGCGCGCGTTTTTAGAACCCGGAATCTCGTACTGGCATCTGCAGAAACCGGACACCCAATGGGAGCGGGAATTAGCATCGCGTCATAAGTGTCTAGGCAGAAGAATCTGACACAGTCTGGGAGACCAGGAAGTGAAACTTGTAGGAGATGGGAAATTTCCAGGGCTTGGCGTCCTAGCTATCTGCCGTCCTGATCAGGGACCAGGGCCCCTATCCTTCCTTCCCTCTTCCAGCACCAAGAGCTTTCGCCATGTTGTCTCTCTGACTCCAGTTCAAGAGTTGTCTTGGTCAGCTGTTCTCAGACTTCTTGGTCTCAGGATCTCCAGGTGCTCATAAGATTTAATGAGTTTCCCCAAGGAAAACATGTTTTTGTGAGTTATATGTGTAAATAATATTAGAAGCTAAACCCTTTAAAATGTATTCAGTTATTTAGAATATTAACAAATCCATTGCACTGACAAAAATAAAATCTTATGAGAAATAATCATTTCCCAAATGAACGGTCTGAAGTGCGGGTCTTTTTGCACTTTACGTGTTTGCAAGTCTTTTCCTTAATCTGTTTCAGTAAAGGTGATGGATTTTCATATATACTTTGCATTTAACCTGCTCTTCCTGTTGAGTGTGAAACAGCTTGCCTTATCCAAATATGAAGGCGGAATATTTTAATGATGTTATCAGATAATTGTGGATACTCATCTTCAGTACCACAGTAAAATAAAATGTATTAACATTTATTTAGACGGGGTTCGTGAATCCTTCCTTGGACTTGAAGTGAGGAGGGAGTGTGTATTCTCTTTCCGGCTCTGTGGCCAGCTTCATATGCAAATCTGTATATTACGTCAAATAAAGTGAAGGTCAATAATGTGCACATGTATCTATAAGCCTCCCTTGATAGTTACAATTACTATAATTTTTACTCTGTAGTGTGCAGTAAGACACAGGTGAGCCATCGGTCTGAGGAGGGGTTCTAGAGAGACAGCAGCATTTGAGATTTATATTATACTAAATGAAGAGCCATTTCACATACCTTCTGTTGGGCTTTGTTCCATGGAAGAGAAATAATTGCATCTATCTCCAAATATTACATCTCACAACTGAATATATATCTAACATATATTGATAGATAAGATATATTACATATGATACATATCTGGAGATGTGGCCCAGTAGCAGAATGATTAGAGATTTTCTGACATGCACAAGACCCTGACTTTGAACCCAAACATTAGGCTGTTGGGGAAGAACTGCCTTCATAATTCTTGCTTGGCGTTGGGTCCTGCAGGCTGCAGTACCAACCTGCACGGTACAGTGTGCTGCACAAGATAGGATAGACAATAGAGCATTTTTTTTCTGGTTTTGCCAGATACAAATGGACTGGACATTGTGAATGTAATTCTCGCCTGATAACTATTCTTATTGTATATAGTTTTAATGTGTTAGAGTCAAAACCTTCCCTTTTTATTTAGACAAAAAGGGAGAAATGTTGTGGAATATTTGATCGTCCTGAGACTGTGTTAATAAGGTTAACCTTGGATGGGGGGGTGGGAGGAGTCAGCAACTAGTTGATAAGAATTAGTCATAGAGACTGTGGAGGACCCAGAATACAGCTAGAGAGGCACAGGAAGGAGCAGGGAGGGACTTGGACTTTTTGTCGGCCCTTTTTCGGGTTGAAAAGTGTGGTGAGGGGCTGGAGAGATGGCTCAGAGGCTAAGGACACTGACTGTTCTTCCAGAGGTCCTGAGTTCAATTCCCAGCAACCACATGGTGGCTCACAACCATCTGTAATGAGATCTGGTGCCCTCTTCTGGCATGCAGGCATACATGGAGGCAGAACACTGTATTGTATATGTAATAAATAAAATCTTAAAAAAAAACCCCTGTTTTAAAAAAAGAAAAGTGTGGTGAGGAGGTCAGCTGGTTGCTCTTCTACCACTTCTTTGATCTAGCGGTTTTCACCCCAAAATCTGACTCCCATATTTGTTGGCAATAGAACAGCTGAGGGGAAATAACCTGGCCCAGTTGTGAAAAGCAACTGTGACTCCTGCAGAAGACCTGAGTTTGATTCTCAACAACTACAAGATGCTCTCTTCCGACCTTTGGGGTCACCAAACATTCACATAATATGCAGACTTATATGCAGGCAAAACACTCATATACATTCAATAAATAAATCTTTTTTTTAAAAAAAAATAAAGAGAATCAAGATACTGGAGCATGTCATATATAGAATCACCAAGTTTTCAAAAATTCACTTTATGTATATAAGTGTTTAGCCTGTGTATATGTCTTTACATCGCATGTGTTCAGTGCCTGAGGGGACCTGAAGAGGTCGTTGGATCCCTTGCAACTGAGGTTACAGATGGTTGTTAGCCAGCATGTGGGTGCTGGGTACTGAACCCAATCCTCCTGAAGTGCAATCAGTGTACTTAACCACAGAGACATCCCTCCAGCTCAAGAATCAGCAATTCTTACCATATTTTGAATCTAGAACGTTCTGCTTAACAAGGTTTTCTCCTCTAGACGTCACTGCAGAATCAGTTCATCTCAATTTTGTCTCAGGTCTCTTGAGGCAAAAGGAATGACTTAGGGCACCAATGGATGTCTTCCTGGAAGTCAGTGTGTTGTTCCACGTGACCCAAGTGTGGGGTATGAATGGCTCTAAGGGGGTCGTTGGCACAGGGGTGGTCATTAAACACTCTGTGGGTGTGGAGGCTGTACAGAAGGCTCAACAGGTAAGAGCACTGACTTTTGTTGGGGGGGGGGCTGAGTTTGTGTTGTGATCCAGCTGCCCTCACTCCCCCTGACCGGCAGGGGAACTTCCTTGTGGTCTGTAATTGACAAGGATGTTTGTGTTCTTTCTGGCCGGTGGGTCTCCACAGAAGGAATAGAGGTATAAAAGGTTGCTGGGCAAAATAAAGGTTGCTGTTCTTCCACCTGAAAAGAAGCCTCTGTGTCTCAATCCCGGCACCCCCCTCCACCCCCCCCCAACACCCTTCACCCCCCTCCACCCCCCGCCAGTCTCGGCTATCCAGGCTGCGCTGGCCACAGCAAGTTTGGTTCTTAATGTCTCCATAAGAGCTCACAGCTGTCTGTAACCCCAGTTCCCAGGGACCTGAGGCCTTCTTCTGGCATCTATGGGCACTAAGCATGCAAGTGGTGCACACACTTGCTTACATGCAGGTAAAACACCCATAAAACTAAAGAAACCACGATGCTGGGCTTTGGCTGATGAAGGTGAAGGAACATGGGTGACGTGCAAAGCAGAGAGTAGAGTGGATAGGTTCAGTGGCAGTCGATGGAGCTGTCCAGCAGCACTTCAGGGAGGCCTCTTGTCACGGGCAGGGACAATGGCAGTGGATGTTTGATGCAGGTAAAGACAGCTTCATGCATGTGTGTCGCCGAGGAGTTTTGTTCAGAGACCTCTACTCAGGCAAAGATGAGATTCCTGGCTTGGAAAAAAAAAAGAATTTAAGAACTGCCAGTATGGAGGCTGGAGAGATGACTCAGCGGTTAAGAGCACTGACTGCTCTTCCAGAGGTCCTGAGTTCAATTCCCAGCAACCACATGGTGGCTCACAACCATCTGGCGACATCTTCTGGCCTGCAGGCATACATGCAGGCAGA